TCGGGTTCAACAACAATCATAACTAAATCACGCTGAATCGATATGTTTAATATCGATGCTGTTAAAATAATAAAATGAGGATTTAACCCGTATTAAAATGGCGGGTTAATAAAATTTAAAGTTTTTATTGTTGTTGATTTCGTCCCGCCATATAACTTTGTCTCCTAATATAACACGTCTAGTGTTATTTTAAAAATTTTATAGGTTTAAATATTCATAATATTCTAAATTTTTTTAGGGGGACTCACAAAAATGCCCCCTTTTTAATACCCCTTTTCAAAAATACCCCCTCCCTAATAGCTTCCCTGAAATTGACTATTTTACCCTTAATGAGTAACCAAATTGACCAATTGAGGAACCAAATTGAAGAAGAGAAAACTGGGGAACGACGAACAAAAATCTCGGCGTCTCTCGTCACTTTCACAGCCGACGAACAAAAGGTGATGAGATCTTAGATCCGTCGATATCTTCATCTTAGATCCGTCGAGTTCAATCGAGTTCAATCGACGAGGATCAATCGATTCTGTAATCAAAAATCTGTGACTCATCCCAATCTGCATCAATTAGGTTCGAATCGCTTCTGAAATCTGAACCGTTTAGATCCAAAAGTTCATCGATTTCGTCTTCAAATCTGAATTGATTAATTAAGAGCTTCGATTCTGTGTTTATCTATTTTCTCGAATTTGTTTTGCTTGAAAATTATAATTCGTGTTACCTTTAAAAACTTTCTAAAACCATTGTAAAAATTTCTTCTTCATCTTCTCACTGTATTTATGTTCTTCAGTAACTATTGTACACTATTAGTGAAATAATTTTGATTTACCGTGTTTTTTGTGAAGATTGTAAACCTTTAAAAAATATTATAAAACCATGAAGAACTTTATAAATACCTTGTGAACTATCATAAAGATACATATGTTTAACATTATAATACATTATCTTTTTTATCAGGTCGTAATGATTGAGTTGAATTGCATATCTGGTGTTTGGAAACTGAAAAATAACAATTGTTGGGATTTTAAATTTGATGTTGAAAGAGGAGGGTCTCTTACTTTTATCAATGAGGATACGTGTTTCACTGATTTGTGTGCTGTTGTTATAGAAGATTTTGGAATTGATGTCGGTATTAATATAGTGAAACTCAGTTATTCATTACCCTCTACAAAAGACATGCCTCCTATGTATATTAGAAATGATAGGCAAGTGCAAGCATTTATGAAAAAGCTTGCGGAATTCAGAGGCGGTATTCAGCTATGTGTAACTGTTGAGAAGGTATTTTACCAACATTCAATTTTGTAAACTGGTTTAACAAATTTGTAAACAGTTTTAATTATCTTTACAGGGGAAAACAAGCAGTAATCCAATGATGGGGACAAGCAACATCTCAATTAGTAGTGAGAGCAATACAGATCCTTATTCTACATATCAAGTCATGAATGAGGTAAAACAGTAAAGAAACCTTGTAAATTAGTAAAGAAATCATTAAAATAGCTTGT